CTGAAGGGGGCTGGCTGTGCTCTGCTCCTCAACATTGGTTGGTTGAGGTTATGTGAGTGTTCACTTTATATTAAATAATTATAATCACATTACATAGTATGTCATCTATCACGAAGCAATAATAAAGTAGACACTTTAATAACTATGCATTTATGTTATATGTACTCTTGTACATTTGTGTTTTATGTATTTTTCTGTAATCAAATCTGGAACCTACAAAGGCATAATGCATCAATTGCTACTTTTGCTGGTAACGTGACCAATATCCGTGATGAGGGACTAGCTCCATGCATGTGCACACACGTGTATGCTTTGTATTGATTCACATGTACACATTTTGTGAATCTCATTTGCACGCCTGATGTTCTGTAGTGGGGAACTTTGGCTGACTCCTGCTATAAAACTTAAGGAATCGGATTGAAAATGGTGACGTGACGATTTGAATATTTTGAAAGCTTCCTTATACTTTCATTATTTGGGCAAACTTGGGAGTTTGGAGCATAAAGAGATAGTGAGTCCCAGAAGACATTCTAGGAGACATATAATAATTAAAAATATTTCCCTTTGTCCAGTCATAAATAGAATTTCACTTTCATATAAGCAAAATCCACACTAAGATAACTTTTTACCTTTTAGGAAGAAATCACCACCTCTTTTCAAAATAATTTGTTTATGATTGTAGAACTAATGCCTGCTCATTACTGAAAATCAAAACCTTTCCTTTTGTTTTTAGATACCAAGTGAATATTTGCCACCTCTGTTAGATGACAATATTCTTTTATCTCTCTTGAGATGCATCACATGGAAAAATACAGAGAACATTGCGAGAATGTTAGTGATGACAGGTGCTTTCCTTTTAGAAGAGGGCCACATAATATCTGTCATAGTCTACTACATGTCACTTTTTTTTTACTTAAATGACATATTATTTACAAATTGGTATAATAGTGGTTAAAATCATGGACTTTGGAGTTAGATGGTTCCAGCTATACCACTGGCCTTGTCCGGGCACCTAACCTGTTTCCAAGTGTCAGTCTCACTTTCTGGGAACTGAGTTTGATAATCACACTTCAGGTACTTGCAGAATTGGTATAACAAGTAAAGCCCAGTGCTTGGCACACGGTGAGGACTCTGGGATCATTAGCTGTCTCGATAATTTCTCTCCCTCCCTCCCTTCCTTCCTTTTGATGAAATAAGGGCTGTCCATTCATGTATTCAATGTTTTAAATTTCAAATGGGCCATCAGTTGAAACTGACAGAATTGGCTTTTCAGGCAGGTAAAGTAAGATCATTCCACATTAATAAGGCGTGTCTCAAACACCTGAGGGAAAGGCCAGGTGTGCCAGGAAGGCTCACATGGGCGATAATAAGAAGTGCCACCCATCCCTGTAAGGGACATAGGCTCGTCTGCCGTGGGAGGATTTCAGGGCACTGCAGCATCCTTTCCCTGGGAGACCCGATTTTCCAGCAGAAGGCAGGAGGCCACCCTGAAATAGCACGTGGGTTGACTCTTCCACTGAGGCCATCATCCTGGACTGCTGCCAGGTGCAGGTGGCCTTTTGCTGTTGTGGACTGTGGGTTGGGACCATTTTTTTCTTAGCAACAGTCTATAGAAGGGAAGAACGTGGAGTTCATGCTGGTGGGGGCCACTCTATATTTGCAACCAATATGGGTATTCCTACTTAATGCATTTGCTCCTTTGAAGTTCCCTAAGGTAGGGATGGTAATTTCAGAGCCTTAGGAGTATGTCCCTGCTTGCCCTGGTGTTCACTATCAGCTGGTCACTCCTGAGACTCCACAAAGTGACCACCTAGCACCAACTCACAGCATGAATTTCCCTTTAAAATCAGAATGGATAAACTCGTCCCCTGTGCTTCAGTATGGATTAAGCACTTCTCTGTTTTCTAGTGGTTTCTCCAGCTCTGCTGAGACAGAGAGAAAAAACTTAGAGCAATCTCAGGGTGGTCTGTCCCTTTAAAATCTTCTCTGGAGAAGGTGGATGGAGAAATCTCAAACAGTTGGTAGATGCCAAGAGGTCAGTCCTCATGCGGAATGCCCCAAAGCCCAATCCTCATTAATCACTTTATAGAGTATTATGGGAGAATGTTAAGCACAAGATGTTGTTTCTGAGCCAGCAATTCTCCATCCACCCCCCACAGCAAGCCCACTGCTTGCTTTCCTGGGTGTCCATAATTTCTTCTCTTAGTTTTTCCAAAGCCAAGTGGAGGGCACAGTGAACTTTGCAGTATCTATTGAGGCTGTGTGAAAGAGAGTTCTGTGTCGTCAAAGATGGACTCAGCCAAGGTTCTGCAGCTCCCACGAGTCTGATCTTTCTGTGCATCTCTGGGCCCAGGTGTGACTTGTCAAGATACCTGTATGGCCTCAAGTGACCAGCTTCATTTCCCACCAGGCCCCCTGTGGGACCCAGTCCAGTCTCTCCGCCATCCTCAGAACGTACCAAGCTCGTTCTTATTTCTCTGCACCTCATACGCCACATCCAGGAGCATCTTGGCCCATTGTCTTTGTTTGGCTGTGACTGTTTGTGCATCAATTGGGAACGGAGAAAGAGCACTGGTGTCAGGTAGACTGAGGTTTACTCACAGGACAGCCATTTACCATCTATGGTTCTTTTTTTTTTTTTTTTTGAGACAGAGTCTCACTCTGTTGCCTAGACTAGAGTGCCGTGGCGTCAGCCTAGCTCACAGCAACCTCAAACTACTAGCTCTAGCCATCCTCCCACCTCAGCCTCCAGAGTAGCTGGGGCTATAGGCGTGCACCACCATGCCCGGCTACTTTTTTCTATAAAGAAGGCTATGTCGAGATAAAATGAAAGCAAGCTTTCTTTCTATTTATAGTAGAGACGGGGTCTCGCTCTTGCCCAGGCTGGTTTCAAACTCCTGACCTCAAGCGATCATCCCGCCTTGGCCTCCCAGAGTGCCAGGATTACAGGTGTGAGCCGCCGAGCCCGGCTGCATTTACCCTCTATATGACCTCACTTAGTGTCAGGTGGCAGGTCACTTAATGTCTCTGACCCATAATTTCCTTTGTGTCCGAGAGCGTTATGAATGTCTTCATCACAGGACTCAAGTGAGGACTGGATAAGGAGCGACACCCAAGACTAGCACGGCGAAGTGCAGTGCCGAGCTCGCGCCTGCTCTCTTCCCTCCCTCCCTTGTCCGGGCCATTTCTGGAGATCAAGGATTGTGACCTAATTCTTCTGTGGCCTCCACAGTGTTGAGCACACAGTTGGCACTAGATGAGTCCTTTTTACTGGGGAGAACATATTTGTTTGCAGAAGAAAGAGACATCTAGGGGTTATTCTGTCTCTCAGTGACATTTTTCTGTCCTTTCTCAAAACATAATTTTGGCTAATTTTGCCCATGCTGAACAGCATCAGAAAGGCCATTTAAGTCAACTTACGACAGTCGAGTATTTCATTTGTTTTTTTTTGAGACAGAGTCTCACTTTGTTGCCCCAGGCTAGAGTGAGTGCCGTGGCGTCAGCCTGGCTCACAGCAACCTCAATCTCCTGGGCTCAGCGATCCTCCTGCCTCAGCCTCCCGAGTAGCTGGGACTACAGGCACGCACCACCACGCCCGGCTAATTTTTTTTTGTATATATATTTTTAGTTGGTCAATTAATTTATTTCTATTTTTGGTAGAGACGGGGTCTCGCTCAGGCTGGTTTCGAACTCCTGACCTTGAGCGATCCGCCCGCCTCAGCCTCCCAAAGTGCTAGGATTACAGGCGTGAGCCACCGCGCCCGGCCTCATTTGTTTTTTGATTCAGGGAGGAGACCAACAGGGCCATGCCACGTGTTTGCAGCAGCTCCTAGATGTTGGTTTTTCTGTCCGGATTTTACCCTGTGGAGCACCCAGGCATTTTTCCCGGTGAACCATCTTCCTCATCCGGGCTTCAGGCTCGCTGCTGAAGTGCTCATCTGCTCGGGAAGCGGGGCCTCGGGGCTTTGACACGGCTGCTGCCCTCGTTGCGGCTACTGTTGGGAGCAGCTCCAGTCCCTTCCACGCCCCTGCAGGCGCCACGCTGTTCCCTGGTCCTTCCCTTTGTTCTGGCTCCTGAAGAGCGGCTCGCCCCTCAGTGCCCACCTGCTGCTCTCGCAGCACAAGAGTTGCATCCTCGATGCAGCCTTCCAGAACTGGGCCCCTTGCCCCCTGGTCACATGAACTTGCCCACTCCCCTCTTTGACCCCTGTTATTGTTAACCTACACAGAGTTTTCCCACAACTCCTCTAATACCTGGTCATCTTGCTGGCCTCTGTTTCCGTTTACTGTACTTGGAGTGTGACTGGTTGGAAAACGATCCTGTGTCTCTGCGTCTTATTTCTAAATCCCTGGACATAGTCCATTTGACTATGACACGGTGATCAGTCAGGGCTCTATGGTAGGCCTATAGCTGTTTCATTGTGGGGACTCCATCACTCACTCAGCAATGGAATGCCACCCACGCTTGAGCTGCTGGGACAGGTGGAAATTACGCTGTGCTGACTTTATGTCCCAGGTTTTCTTTGACTAGGTGGACGACCTCAGTCGCAGGTGTAGGGCTCCTGCATGCTAAGCACTGTGCCGGCACTCATGCACATGATCCCATTTCCCCATATTCCGCACAGGGTGTCTCATTAGGACCCAAGGAAAAGATGTGCATTGTAATATCTTCCGTGTGATAGATGGAGTAGGTGCTTACTTAAATATTTGAATACAAAGATATATATTTATAGAGCATCTAGAATGATCCAAGACCTGTGATACATTTACCTAAGTTCAAAGATATTTGTTATAATTAAAACAGGCAAATCCAAACAGATGCATTCCATGCTTGTTTAAAGAAGGCTATGTCGAGATAAAATGAAAGCAAGCCTTGAGCAGCACCTAAGTCCTAAAGACCAGATGAGAGGAGTGTCGGAACGCCTCGGCATCTCGCCCAGGTGGGCCTGGCACTGTTGCCCGGTGACCGCACGTGACCTCCCTGTTTTCCACTCTTGCAGGCATGCGCCAGGGCAACGACCACGGCACTCAGTACCGCTCCGCCATCTATGCGACCTCAGCCCAGCAGATGGAGGTGGCCCTGCAGTCCCGGGAAGACTACCAGAAGGTAGGGGGCCGCCGTGGCTCGGGCCAGGTCCCGACTTCAGAGGGGAGCCTGGTTCCTTTTACCCCAAGTCGCGTTCTGTTTGCACAACCGTTGGAAATTTCTCTCGGCCTCTTGGAGCAGAGCCACGGCGCCCGATAAACGTGCTAAGCACGATTTTAAGAGCAGACCCCTCTGCGTTTCTTTTTAAAATCAACGTATCCAGATGAATATGTCACTTGTGAAAATACAGAAAATATAGTCTCTATCTCTCTCTCTCTCCCTCAATCTCTCTCTTTTCTTCTTCTCTCTGGATTAGTTTGCTCAGGCCACCAAGACAAAACACCCAGGCTGGGCAGCTTCAACCTACAGACGTTTATTGTCTTTCAGGTCTGGAGGTGGGAAGGTCCGTTCCAGGCTCTCTCCTTGACTGTGTGCGGCCGTCTGCTCCCTGTGTATGTTCACATCATCTTCCCTTTACATGTGTGTCTGTTTCTGTGTCTATATTTCTCCAGTCTTATTATTGGATCAGGGCTAACTCTAATCCAATCTGTGAAACCGTATCTCCAAGTGAGGCCACATCCTGAAGGGTTAGGACCCAACATATCTTTTTGTAGGGGACAGAATTCAACCATAATCCTCGCCCTTTTGCCAGTAGCAGTAAATTGAATAATAATAAAAATATGTCTCAGAGATATACACATTATGTCACAAAATAATTATTTCCATTATTAACTTGTATAGTATTTTTAAAACCTCCTTTAACAGAGATTTAGTTCCTTTAAAAAGAACTTGATGTTGCTTTCGTTTTTAGAGTTCTGTGGTAAATGCACAAATTTTAATCAGTGCTATGTTTTCTGATGTGGATTCACTTCGGACGGTAGAGCTGGTCTGGTCTAGAATTATGCACAAAGTCTAGCGTGCAGCAGGCCCAGGAACGTGTGGGTTCTCCACTCGTTCCATGTGGGGGGCAGAGAGGTGGAGGCCGAGGCAGGGGTGTGTCCTCCAGTGAGCAGTAGCAGGACACATGGCTCATGGTCACTTCAGCTCTGAAGGGCTGAGGGGGTGGAGGGAGATGCTGATGGAACCGATTTGTTTCTCGGCCCGGCCGTGGTGTCTGCTTGGCTGGTCACAGTAGAAGGCTTGTAGGACAGCACCCAGGGGTTTCTGTCCATGTGAAGTCCCCTCTTCTTGAGTATGGGCTGGATTTAGTGACTCACTTCTTGAATACACATGTCATTCAAGATGGGGTGTCACTCTAGGTTAGGCTAAGAAAAGATTGTGGTTCCCATTGTGGGACCCTTCATTCTCCCTCCTCCGCCCTTTCTGGGATCACTTGTATTTCTGAGGCCTTTATTTTTAGTTTTAAAACAGGTATGAATTTCTAGCGTTTCATTCAATTGGTATTGTTGATAATACACACACGTGCACACATAAGAAATCAATAATTTGCAATGCTCATGAGGGGTGATATTATTAGCTTTTATATCATAAAGAAGTTGCTGTGTGCTTTTATATTAACCTTAAAAAGTAATGTGGGGCTGGGTGCGGTGGCTCACACCTGTAATCACAACACTTTGTAAGGCTGAGGCAGGAGGATAACTTGAGGCCAGGAGTTTGAGACCATCCTGGGCAACACAGTAAGACCCTGCCTCTACAAAAACTTTTTTAAACAATTAGCTGGACATGATGGCATGCACCTGTAGTCCCAGCTACTCGGCAGACTGAGGAAGGAGGATTCCTTCCACCCAGGAGTTGGAGGCTGCAGTGAGCTATGATCATGCTGCTATATTCCAGCCTGCGTGATACAGCAAGACCCTGTTTAAAAAAAAAAAAAAAAAGAAAGTAATACGGTTTCTAATAGAGTCTACAAAATAAGGGGAGATTCAGATCATCTCACCAATTCCTTTAACCTCTGATGGCAGGAGAGCAGGGAGCTGAGGAGGTGGCCCCTGGAATCTGTTCTCCAGTGTTTAGTGTCTAGGGTGACCTTGAGCAAACTCCTGAAACAGCAGAGGCGTTTCTTCTAGGGAGAGTCATCTTTAACACTACCGGATTAGGGTCTAGAACTCTGTAATCTCATCAAGAACATTCAGTTTTATTTCTAAAAGCAGAGAAATTCTGCAGATGGCTCGTTCTGTTTTATTTATCCTGCTTTCCCCTTTAGAGGTTGGCGTTTCTGGCCCTGTCCCTCCATTCTGGGAATTTGTCTTATTCGAGCCCTGGTGGGGCCCCACACACTAACTACCACATTGACTAGGTTACTAATTTAATCGACTCCACTAGTTCGCCCCCAGTGACCCCCTAGTAACCAGCTTCTTCAGCAAATTCTTTATATGTGAAGTTCGGAGTGACAGTATTGCTTACCACAGAGCAGCCATTTGAACATAAAATTAGCTGATTTTATCACAGGGACCAATTGTTGAGCTAATTAGATGTGCAGTACTGCTGAGGAGCCAGAACCAAAAGTGATTTTCCATCAAAACTGTGGTTTTCTGCAAAGTTGGCTGGGACGGTGGATACCAGGCTCACCCACGACCGCAGGCAGGAAGGGAGGACTGGCTGAAGAGGTTCTCGAACTTCTAAGCGGTACAGAAGGGGCAGCAAGGCCTGGAGGAGGATCCAGGCTCACAGACGTGAAGCTTGAACTTCACACTGAGCCTGCTGACCTTGAAAGTGCTGGATTCTGCTCACAGTTATTTGACAGCTGTGTCGTGTCTTTGGTGAGCCGAGGATGAAATCATCCAATGTTGGGGGGGGGGTGGTACCCTTGCCTTTCAAGGAAAAGACTTCGTAATCTTTTCTTAACCTCATATTTTTTTTGTAAAAAACAATCCCCCAAAGAGTTTCATGGCAGAATTATTTGCTTATAGCATTAATGGGAAGAGATAATCTAATGTATTATTAATTGTTTTTGTATTATCACACGCGGACAATTTACCTCCCAAGTGAACCTGCCATGATGAACATTTTCTAATATCATAAGCTGAACATGGTCTCTGACAGGGGTTGGGCAGGGTTCACATGTGACTGGAATTAAATCTTTTGATCGCTGACAAATTATGTTTCTTGAAATTTGAAAGGCAGTAAATCTAAAGATAGTTCTTTTGGCCACATGACCTCTCCCTTCTCCCCACTCTTGAAACATTTTGAACAGCATGCACAACATCTCTGGATATTCCTTCCATTAAAAAGAGAGAAGAAAAGCGGTGCTTTCTTTTGGATACATTTCGCAATATGTTAAGTTCTAATAAGAATAAAACCTTTCTAGGACCAATGCTAAATTACTCACTGTGTTGCAAACCTGCCTCTATCAGTCTCTCAGTTTTTATCCATCCATCCGTCCATCCATATCTTCAATCTATAGCTTTAATCCTTAAATATTTGCCATAATTTTATCTTACATTTCCACAATCTGGCATATTATCTATCATCTATGTGTTTGTCTATACTCGATACAGTGCCATTTTAAAGAAAAATGCCCAAAGTGAAAGATATAAAATGCTATGTAATGATTAGGTTGCGGCTAGCAAGTTTTAGAAGAAATGTTCATCTTTGATGATTTAATTTTCTTCCCACTTAGATTGCAGCCAGATACTCAGTGCCTCCCTATGCCATGCTCTCCAGGGAAGCCCTGGAAAGTTGTGGTTTGACAGGTGTGTGTGTGTGTGAATGTGTACGTGTGTGTGTGAAAGAGAGAGAAAGAGAGAGAGAGAGAGAGCAGTTGTCATCACCAAATATTTTACTTAGCTGTGCTATCAGTTAAGTTTTTGCTTCTTTTCTCTCTCATTAAAGTTTAAATGCCACCTCTATGTCCGTGACACTCAGATTTATGGTCCAGAACTACTCTCTGGGCTCCAAATCTCCACATCCACTACTTACTTGTTATTTCTACTTATGCATCAACACGTTTCCTACCCAGAAGGGTTGATTTGCCCCCCCAATTAACAAGCCCCACCTGTTGACAGCTTTTCTCGTCATTATCATTGGACTTGCTTAAGCGAGACCCTCAGAAGCCATCCCTGATTTACCCCTTCCCCTTGCCCCTCACCTCCAGTTAATCAGGATGACAGATTCTCCCTCCAGAACATAGCTCCGATGCACTCGCTTCTCTCATTTTCACGTTCACTGTCACAGTTTAAGCCACCGTTATCTGCTCCTGGACCACTGGACTTCTGCCTCTCCATGACCACGACCACCCACACAAGGCAGTGGAGTGAGCTTCACAAATACAGTTCTGATCATTCCCCTTCCTTGTGTCAAAGTCTCCATGATTCCCTCCTCTATTGGGAACGAAATTTGAACTCCTTAGCGTGGTCTACCAGGTCCCACACAGTCATTTCACCATCTTACCATGCACGAGACACCTGCAACTTCTAATCGTAATATCTAATTCTTTCCCAAAGCTCATAACCTTTGAATAAAGCTCAAGAACTTCTAAAGAGGTGGGGACTCAGGATGAGAACCACAGGCATTCAATTTTACTGCTATGAACATCAAAAAGAGTGGTCCTCTAGTTCTTCTATTTCACAGCTGATTCCTATGTGGATGTACTCTTGCCACAGAGACTGAGTTCAGAGGCTGTGGAACTGCTGCCTGGTTTAGGGTATTGGCGTACCCTAGGCATGAACTTCCCCATTAACCACAGTGCTCTTGACCCCAAAGCCTCTCTTGCAAACTCTCTTGACACAGAAATTGCTAATTATTACAATCATTCAATAATACTTAGTAAGATTATATCAGTGGTTAGTACATGAAACTGTCTTCCTTTCCCTAATTTGCCAAATTTCTGACTTTTCATCCCTATGTTAATATCCTGTGGCTGCTATAACCAATTACCACAAACCTGGTGGCTTAAAACAACAGGAATTTATTCTTTCACAGTTCCTGGAGGTCAGAGGCTCAAAACCAGTTTCACTGGGTCAAAATCAAGGCGCCACCTGGGCCATGCCCCCCCCTTCCCAGGGGCTCCCAGGGGCAAGAGAATCTCCTCCTTGCCTCTTCTGGCTTCAAGTGGGTGCCAC